AAAATTGTCGTTGACTAAAATTCTTGGTCGCGACGCCAACACACGAATGACTTGAGGTAGGCTGACCTTGACTCGGAAGTGGTGAGTCCGAAATACTGTTTTACCATCGGACCTATCTATACCGCCGCTTTGTCGCGGGCTTAACGTCTGTTGTCATGGAATTTTATTTCGGATTGCGGTTAGTTGCGCAACAGGCCCTAATTTCTAATCGGTAGAGGGCAATGTGATTTGTCAAGACTCGTTGTTAAATCGTAGGGAAAAGCAATCGTGGATCGTCGTTTGATAAAAAATTTTTATTTTATCAAAGAATGCGGATAACTTCGTATCCTATTGTGAGCACGCCATTACCCATTTTTATAGGCTCCTAATAAATCAGTCCGACGGTTGATATGACTTTTCCAGATATTTCCATTCTGCCGTTACACGACGATTTCAAAATCGATTATTTTACTTCTAGCGTATTTCCATATTTTGCGAAAATGACTCGGCCGAATTATACGTGCTGGCACTACATAATTATCGAGGCGTGTATCTCGATAAATTTGAAAGGAACGAAAGATGACGCCGGTATACGGCAAATTCCACTGTTAAGTAACTACTGATATTATTGAAAGTAGACGGTCTTACATTTTCACCATATGACGTGTCCAAAGCAATAAGTAATTCGTCATCGCGACTACAGGTTAACTACTGATCAAAAATTATCACGAGGATGGTCAATAAAATCGCGTTCTACTGCTTATCATCAAGAGACATTTGGTACCTGAAAATTTATATAAAATTTCAATTTTTTTTGCCACGTATGCTTCTACATGCGTCCTATAATTATAATTAACGATTCTCCATTAACCAGTCTCTAATGTTGAATTTCATATCAGCCAGACATATATCGAACAGCTGTATAATAAAAATCGTATAATCTCTTTATCTCGCGTAAATATAACACGTTCGTTTCCTCGAAAGAAACGATTGGATTTTCGATCGATTTATCAGGTCAAACATTTTCGAAAAACACGTCAGAAACCAAAGTCGGACCGAATGCAAAATTTTTAAGACGATGTAACTAATGTGTAACTCATAAAAAAAAAAGCCGATCAAATTCATTTTGAAACTATTGCGTACTATGATAACACGTACTGAGTCTATCAAAAAAGTTTGTTCAAACAAAAAATTGGAACACTGTACCTACCTCAACGTAGATGTAACGCAAATAGAATTGAAGATGTAATGTTCAATGTCCAACGTTCAATGTTTACTTTATTTTAGTTTCTGATCATGTGACATTTCTCAACACCACACGCCGTGACGCCTGTCGACCCCTTAAATTAGAAAGCAACAAAGTAACCACAATCTTTTTCAAATGATTCCTATTTATAACTTTTTTTTTTCAAAATGGATAAAGACTCCTATCAGCTGATCGAGCCAAGACCTAATTCCACATACAAATATATCAAGGAAGCCATAACGCAATCCAAACCGTCCTTGCGCCATTGAATGACTCAATTAAGCTATAAATAAATTTAAAAATTATGTTCTCATAATAAATTCTTCTCTTGGCCAATGACAGTATCGCAATGGCGGTCAAGCAGAAACTTCAAAAAAAAATTATTTCCAGTCAGGCAATACCATTCAAATCTTGCTGCAAAACTCTACAGTCTGAAGTATCCAACGTATAACGTATTGCAGTAGTAATTCGACTCAGTAGGATTTGAATGATCGATACGAAGTCAGATATACATAGTCTGACTGTACAATTGGCTAATAGTCATAACATTATAACTCTTGAAAATCCCG